CCGGCGCAGTGTGGAGCTAACTCTTTCCTCAGGTAGTGCTTGGGGTTTTTTCCGGGGTGATTACCGGCCCCCCACCCCCCCTCCCCATCCAGGGCCGTCCTCGCTGCCTTACCGGCTCTGTCGTTCCTATAGCCGGCCACCATCTCGGACCGTGCTGGCCGCCCCCTCGCGCCGGTTCCATCCCGAGCTCTCCGGTGTCTCGGTGTCCCGACTCCGTCCCGGTTTTGCGTGGTGCGGGAGCGAAAACGTCCGCCGGAGCCGGCGCCAAGGGAAAGCTCGGGGGCTGCGGCAGGGCTACGGCAGGGCGGAGGGCCCCGAGCCGAGGGGGTTAAACCAGGAGCCTCCCCTTACCTTCAAAAAGTTAAAAATGTCTGGAGCCTGCATCTCTTAAAGGGGCGGTGCTGGCTGCAAGGAGTCTTGGCACCGGCTGCGAGAAAGGCTGGTCAGGGGCGTGAGTTCCCCTCCACCAACACCAAAACATTGCAAAAAAAAGGCAGAGCGCCCCACACTTTAGATAAGGACAATTAGCCACCAGCGAGCCCCTGCAGACAGGCAGTTAATTAGGGGTTTCCTGCTCTCCGGCATGCCCTGTCCCAGCTCCTGCCCCCCAGGGCTCTTAGCCCTGATGGCACCTGGGCTGGCCCTCATGGCCACCTTCTCGCTGCCTTCCCAGGCTGGGGACAGGAGAGCACTGCCGGTGGAGAAACCTCCAGGTGTGAAGGGAAGAACTCTCATTCTCCTTGATGTCAACACCAAGAGCCCTGTCAGGATAATCAGTGAGAATTTCCTCTCCCTGCAGCTGGACCCCTCCATCATTCATGATGGCTGGCTCGATTTCTTAAGGTAAGGCAGGAGCCCCCCGGCGCCCTCCCCACGCCGCCCGCGGGGCGCCCCGGCGGCCCCGCCGCCCAGCCCTGCCGGGCTCCGCGCTGCTGGCGGCGCTTGTTGTGACGGAGGGAGCGAGGCCATGGTTTCCATTAAGATGCACATGTTTGCAATGGAGAAAGCATTTCGGAGACTTATCAGTTATGACTGCAAAAATGTCGTGCTCCCCTCGCTCCAGCAACCGCTCCTCTGCAAAAAAGCACAACAGGGGCCGAGGCAGCACAGGGGGAGAAAAAAAATCAAAATGGAACAAAAAATAGCAGCAGGAACGGGGCCGCCTGCCGAGCCGAGCCTTCCCCGGGTCCCGACGGGCAGAGAGCGGGTGTCGGCCAGGTCTTCCGAGCCCTCCGCTCTCCGCACTTCCAGCCCTGCGCGGGGGGCAGAGCCGGGCTGCAGCTGCGCTGGGTTCCACCGGCGGTGCGGAGCGGCCGCGGCCTGGAGGCGCTGGGACGGCCAGAGAGCCTTCTCCCTGCTGGGTAAGTCGGGGAGGGAGAGCAGCTCTCCTCCGCACGCCCGCTCCGAGGGTCCTTTCGGCAGCCGGGGAAGGAGCAGGGCGAGGATGCGGGAAGGCGCGAGAGAAGCGGAGCCGGGACGGTTCCCGCTCTTCTTCCCTCCCCGCTCCTCTCCCCTCCCAGCGGCTCGGCCCGCGGCACGGTCCCGCGTGGCGCTGAGCGCCTCTCCCTCCTGGACGCCGCTGCACTTGTCCGGAGGGCGCCGGCAGGACGGGGGGGAGCCGGGCCCGCCGGCCTCAGGGCCGCCACCGGCGGGCGGGGCGGCTCCCGCGCCAGGGCCGCGCCGCTCGGCCCGCGCAGAGCCCTCAGCCGCTGGTACCACTCGCACTGCCCCGGGCGGGGCAGCGGCGGGTCCTCGAGCCCCGTGGTCCCCGGTCGCTGGCGGTATTGGGGAAGCGAGGGCCCGGCCCGCGGCTTCCTCAGCCCTCTCTCTCCTCTCCCCAGCTCCCGGCGGCTGGTGACCCTGGCGCGGGGCCTGGCCCCCGCCTTCCTGCGCTTCGCGGGCAAGAGGACGGACTTTTTGCAGTTCCACAACGTGAAGAACCCGGCCAAGAGCCGCGGCGGGCCCGGCCCCGACTACTACCTCAAGAACTACGAGGACGGTGAGCCCCGGGGCGGGGGCGGGCGCTGCAGCGGGGGGCTGCGGGAGCCGGGCGGTCCCGTTCCGCCTGCTCCGCTCTCCCCGCGCCCGGCGGGGCCGTGTCGCTCCCGGGCACGGTGCCGCTGGGCACCGGGCAGGGGAGGATTCCCGTTCCCTTTCTTTCCCGAGGGAGGGGAGCCGAGGAGCTCGGCGGAGCTCGCTGGCCCCATTGCCGGGGGATTCGGCGGGTGTCGGTCCCCGGGAACAAAAGACCAGCACTGGGGAGCGGGACTTTTCGTATTCCCCCGCCCCTCCGCGTCCTCTGCCTCCCTTTGCCCCCGAGCCCCGGCAGGCAGCGCCGGCCGCAGGGGAGGCTTTGCCGCGGCTCCGGGCGGGGCCGGGCAGCGGAGCCGGGATGCCCCGTGCCGCGCTTGTCTTTGCCGCGGCTCTCGGAGCCCTGCCTTTCCTCACGGAGCTCGCCGCTGTGCGCCTTTCTGTGCCCGCCGCAGCCCCCGGGGCTCCCCGCGGTCCCTCCGGGCTCGGTGACCGTCGGTCCCCGCCTGCTGATGCCCGGTCGCGGCTGCTCTCCCTCCGAACCTCTCGGCCATCCGAACTCTCTCCAAAGTCACCGCCTGGCCCCCGCCTTCTCGCTGTTCCCTTCTTCGCCGTCTGCCCTTCTCCCCCATCGGACCTCTGTACACAAAAGGCTTTCACCTTTCGCGGCCCATAATTCACAGAAAGAAACTGAGTAAAAAATTTAGGGCCATATCTCCGTCCTAAGGCATTTCTATTAAGAAGCTGAATACGATGTCCACATGCAAGAATTTATTGATTTTTCTCTCTTGCTTAGTTTGTTTCTTTTTTTAAAGAAACAAGCTTTTTTTTTTTTTTTTTTTTTTTTTCCCTTACACAACGACTTACAAAAATTAGCTTTAGATTTTTCCATAAGTAATTTTGAAGGCCAATTAATGCCAGACAGATCCCACTGGGCAGGTCTGGAACAGAGGAAATTTTGCAGAGATCTAGTCAGCAGCAGTCCTGAATGGAAAAAGCAGATGCATTTGCCAGTCTTCTGATGGCTCTCACTCCTGCTGTTTCCCTACATAACATCTCTGAGATGAATGTCCTTCTATTCCCACACACAGGCAGGTGGGTAAGTTTTTCTGCTCCATCTTTCACTTGCTCTCCTAGCTGGGGCAATCCCGATGTTATTCATTGTTTTTCTTCTTGTAACAAATCTCAGTGGAAGGGTTTGTTGTAAGCTTTGCCTGCTGAGATGCACTTCAGGAAAAAATGCTGACCAAACTTGCCACAGACACCTTGTACAGTAGGAATTAAGTGTCATGCATAAAATTGTGGATGGGACTCATACAAAACATTTGTAAGAATAAATTTTCCCACTTTCCATATTTCAACAGCTTGCAGGAGAGAACTTATACTTACTTATTAAATGTCTTCACAGCAGCTTTCACGTTAAGGAAGGAGTGAAATATTTTGGCTTTTTTTTCAGTTTTCCTCATGGCAATAAAATTGAAATGTAGCAGCCTTCAAAATGAAGCTTTTCATAGAAGCTGTAACCACAGGTCTTAACTTTTCATCACTTAAATATGGAACAGGACCATTGTGAATGTGGGTGAAGGAAGGGGAAGACACATGTGGTGTGGATCAAGCATTGGTGTAAATCAGAAAGGTGTGGTAAAAGGGATTTCCTGCCTGGAAGCAAAGCTCTCGTATTTGTTCTTAAGATCTGTGTGCAAACTCCAGGGTCAGGGAGTTTCACCCTATTTGGATAAGGGCTAGAGTTGCTAGTAGCTCACATCCTTTTGTGCTGAGGCTGCACTAAGTACTTCACTAGAGGGATCCAGTTCTCCAGAATGAAATCCTGATGCCACCACAGCTCTTTGCCCTGCTGTCCTGGGTATGAGCAGCCACCTTCTCCATTTGGAGCTCTGGCTCCGTTTTTGTTCCCTCATCTGTGGCTCACCCAGGACCTGCTTGGAATCAGGACATGCAGTTTGCTCTTGCTGCTGAGGAATTACAGCTTCAACAGACAGCACAGAGAACTGATGGCAATCAGCACCTGAGCAAGGGGGAAGCCAACAAGCATCCTGCTAGGTACTCTTCCTTCTCCCCAGTCTGTCTGGGGTGGTTGGAGTTGTTTTCCATGTCCACGGGCTTTTATATGTCCAGTACCTATTCTCTGAAATTTCTGATAATGGCATGGGGGTGGGGAAGATGCTGGGGGGCTTGATTAGTTAAAAAAGTCAGAGAACATTTAACAGAGAAATCGGTGAATTTTAAAGCCTTATGCATCACCCTAGTGATTTTTAGGGATGTGATAAGTGACTGTTTGGTTGTTTTCTGCTTTGAGTGTTTGTCTTTCTGCCACTTGTGCCTGTGGGTGCACACAGACTCCAGGCCTGTGCCCACAGTCTGGGCTCTCTTTGCAGCCCCCACGGCTGCTCCCATGCCGTGTGTTCAGAGGGGGAGGGAAGGGCACTTGATATGTTCCTCTGGGCTGCAGCAGCTCACAGAGAGCAGGACTGAGAGGTGCAGGGCACGTGTGCAAGATCACTCAGAGAACTGCAGTTACAAGTGAGTGACTGTGAGTGGTGTTCACATCCCAGGCAGCTGCACCCCACTGTGTGCTCACAGCCCACACCCGTGTGGCCCTCTCAGGCATTCAGATGGGAGGCAGCACCAGGACTGCTTTGTGTCATCCTTCATGGACCCTGGGACCATGCTTGCTAGAGTTGGAATGAATCTCTGGACAGGGATCTTCATCCTGTAAACCCCCTCTGCCCCCCTGGTGCTCTTCAGACCAGAGTATTCCTCGCTGCTCCCTTCCATGTTTTTTCTGTCTCTGTTGTGCTCTGCCTTCCTGACTATCAGACCTCCTCAGGGATTCACCTTACTCTTCCCCTGCACTTAAAATTGTATTTGATTCCCTTTCAAATTATCCCAACTGTGCACACCTCCACCTTCTGGAAATTGCTTTTACCTTGGACAGCCTTTGGGTTCACCAACCCATTTTTTCCCACTTCTTTCTTTCACAGAGAGTGTGGGTACTCTCTGAGGGTAGCAGTAGTTGCTTTCATCTCTATCTAAAATGTACTTTGTTTTCTTGAAATAAGGTGTCTGCTTTAGGTTCCAGGGTAACTCATTTCTTATTCAGATTATTCCTGGAAACACAGACCTGGAAGTATTGTGTGTTACCAGGGGTGTATGATAGCTTTCCTTTGTATGTGTGAACAGCCTCACCCCAGTCTAAACTGGTCATGTTTGGGCAGCAAGGGTAACAAAGTGATGCATGCTCTGTTACTGCCTGGGATGCCCATGAAGAGGGTGCACCTGGCAATTTACTGCAGCGTAGTGTACAAAACTGGCACAGCAATTTCATCACTGGCTGGCAGATTTGTCAGTACCTGACAGGGCAACTCCTAAAAGTGGATGCCTCTGGTAGATGCTCTTGGTGAGCCACTGGGTGTGCAGTCTCTGTTATGGTAGCATGGGTCTAGGTACCTCCTGGACTTTGCTATACATTAGGTAATCTAATGTGCTACATTAACACCCCACCTATGTTGCACACCTGGTGGCTTCCATCTCATGCAGCCCCAACTTTGGATGGTGAGTCCTGGAGCCCACCCTGTTTGGATAAGGCATGGGCCAGCCTGAGGTTTGCTAGAAACAGAAACCTAGTTTGATGTATGTCAGGCTCTGTGGCACCAGGAGGTGGGGCTGTGCCAGAGACTTTTTGACATTTTATGATCAAGAGGTGTAACATTTTTAGCCTGAGACACTTTTCCCTCCCTTAAATGGTGTTTCTCTGCATGTGCCCTGCTGAGTTCGTTTTTCTTCCCCAGCGGTGCTCAGCATTGTGTTTTGTTATCTGGAGATGTGTTTCTCTGCACATGTCTCAGTCCAGGGCAGGTACCAAGATGAAAGGTTTCATGCTCAGTTTATCTAGTAGGCCTGCTTCTCCTTTTGCTGTTGGGTTTCCTAACAAGCAATCTGTTCAGCCTGTCCTTTCAACTGCCTCACATGTGCCAGGGACCAGTTGGATCTGAGGAATGGGACAACAGGAAACACTGGTCTCCAGGAAAACAGGCTTGAGCAGCTCCTCTTCGGAGAAAAGACATGGATTTTTGTTGGTACAAAACCTTTCCTGAAGCTGAATTTGTTAAAACCTGGCTTGCTTGCTGTCCTGGAGCCTGGTGTTGGTGTGTTACATGTGTGTGGAGTCCTGGTCTTGTTTCAGCAAGAGGTGCTGCAGGTGCTGTCTCAGTGCCTGATCCCTCAATGCTTCCATTTTGGAAGCTCCTTGCTGGTGCTCCAGTATGAGTTTAGTGGGCTAATGTGCAGCCTCCTCATCTGCAGGGTGATCCCCAGCTGCCTCTCACCCCAAAGCCACAGAGCCGGCTTTGGACAGCCTGGGTGGCACAGACATTGCTATAGCTTCCCTCTGGGCAAATCTGCTGTCAGGGATGAGAAAGCAGAAAAAGAGGAGTTACTCACAGCTGGAATTCTCAAAGATGTGCTGGCCCAAGTGCACAGCTTCTCACTCCTGCACCCCAGCCTTGTGGAGACTTTTGTAGCCTTCTCGTGGCTGAGAAGAGACCAAAGGATACTTCGTGTGTCCCTGTGTGGCCATGGGAGGGAGAGGGGAAGGGCACTACATTTGCATGCTATAGGTAGTGCATCAAAGAAGTTTCTGAGCTGAAGTGTGTATGGACAACACATTTCAAAAACACTCTTTTAATTGCTGCTAAGTTGCTTCCTTCTATTTTATCACCTTTTTATTATTATTTTTTAAGGCGATACCATTTGGAAAAAAGTCCAATTAAACAAAGAAAATTACAAAGACATGTTTCTTAAGCCTTCCATACTAGTCAGGGGATTTGGCAATATAGTGTGGGAAATTTCACATCATGCTGTGTAAGGCTGGCATTCTGTGTATTCTTTCAGTGTTGCATCCATTCCTTCAGGCATCCTCAGGTACCCAGCACTGCATCTAAGCCTCAA